TGGCATGGTACTTGTATTATTGGTAATGACTGTCTCACTGCCCTGGTACTTGTATTATTGGTAATGACTGTCTCACTGACCTGGTACTTGTATTATTGGTAATGACAGTCTCACTGCCCTGGTACTTGTATTATTGGTAATGACTTTCTCGCTGACCTGGTACTTTTATTATTGGTAATGACAGTCTCACTGGCCTGATACTTGTATTATTGGTAATGATTGTCTCACTGGCCTGGTACTTGTGTCATTGGTAATGATCGTCTTTCTGACCTGGTACTTGTACTATTGGTAATTATCGTCTCACTGGCCTGATGCTTGTATTGATGTAATGACTGTCTCACTGCCCTGGTACTTTTATTATTGGTAATGACAGTCTCACAGGCCTGATACTTGTATTATTGGTAATGATTGTCTCACTGGCCTGGTACTTGTGTTATTGGTAATGATCGTCTTTCTGACCTGGTACTTGTACTATTGGTAATTATCGTGTCACTGGCCTGGTACTTGTATTATTGGTAATGACAGTCTCACTGTCATGGTACTTGTATTATTGGTAATGACTTTCTCACTGACCTGGTACTTTTATTATTGGTAATGACAGTCTCACAGGCCTGATACTTGTATTATTGGTAATGATTGTCTCACTGGCCTGGTACTTGTATCATTGGTAATGATCGTCTTTCTGACCTGGTACTTGTACTATTGGTAATTATCGTCTCACTGGCCTGGTACTTGTATTATTGGTAATGACTGTCTCACTGGCATGGTACTTGTATTATTGGTAATGACTGTCTCTCTGCCCTAGTACTTGTATTATTGGTAATGACAGTCTCACTGGCCTGGTACATTGTACTTGTATTATATGTAATGACTGTCTCACTGCCCTGGTACTTGTATTATTGGTAATGACTGTCTCACTGACCTGGTACTTGTATTATTGGTAATGACTGTCTCACAGGCCTGGTACTTGTATTATTGGTAATGACTGTCTCACTGCCCTGGTGCTTTTATTATTGGTAATTATCGTCTCACTGTCCTGGTACTTGTATTATTGGTAATTATCGCCTCACTGGCCTGGTACTTATATTATTGGAAATGACTGTCTCACTGCCCTGGTACTTGTACTATTGGTAATTAGGGCCCCGTATCGGAGATACGGGTGCCCTATAGTAATCACTCTGTCTGTCTGTCCGTCAACAAATTTTGTGCCTGGCTGATAACTTTGGTATTTATCGACTGATGTACATGAAACTTATTCAAGATGTTCAGTTCACAAAAATACACATTGAGGTAAAAAGTCAAGGTCAAAGGTCAAGTTCATTAGGTTCAAAGGTCAAGTTTAAATTTTGAATCTTTTCACTGATGAACATTTTGTTATGACATGATGAAGCAAAGCTGATAAGAATTAAACAAGGAGTCAACCTGACCAAATGTCAAGGTCATTGGGTCAAAGGTCAAGGTTAAATTTTGTATCTTTTCACTGGTGAACATTTTGGTATGACACTTTGAAGCAATGTTGCTCAGAATTAAACAAGGAGTCAATTGCCCAAAAGTCAAGGTCATCGGGTCAGGGGTCAAGGTCAAATTTTGTTATGACATTATGCAGCAGTGTTGGTCAGAATTAAACAAGGAGTCAATTGACCAAAGGTCAAGGTCACTTGGTCAAAGGTAAAGGTAAAGTTTATTATTTTGTTGCTGGTGAACATTTCATTATGACACTTTGAAGCAATGTTTGTGGGAATTAAACAAAGAGTCATTTGACCAAAGGGCATGGTCACTGGGTCAAATGTCAAGGTCAAATTTTGTATCTTTTCACTGATGAATATTTTGTTATGACATTATTAAGCAAAGTTGGTCCGAATTTAAAAAGGAGTCAACTGACTTAAGGTCAAGGTCATTTTATGTTATTATGTAGCAAACTTGTTCAGAACTTAACACAGAGTCAATCAACTTTAGGTCCAGGTTACGGGGTCCAAAGTCAAGGTCAAGTTTTGTATTTTCACTGATGAACATTTTGTTATGATATGACTGTCTCACTGCCCCGGTACTTGTATTATTGGTAATGACAGTCTCTCTGGCCTGGACTTTTTACCTCAATGTGTATTTTTGTGAACTGAACATCTTGAATAAGTTTCATGTACATCAGTCAATAAATACCAAAGTTATCAGCCAGGCACAAAATTTGTTGACGGACAGACAGACAGACAGACAGAGTGATTACTATAGGGCCTCCGTATCTCCGATACGGGGCCCTAATTACCAATAGTACAAGTACCAGGGCAGTGAGACAGTCATTACCAATAATACAAGTACCAGGCCAGTGAGACGATAATTACCAATAATACAAGTACCAGGACAGTGAGACGATAATTACCAATAATACAAGTACCAGGTCAGTGAGACAGTCATTACACATAATACAAGTACAATGTACCAGGCCAGTGAGACTGTCATTACCAATAATACAAGTACTAGGGCAGAGAGACAGTCTGGCCTGGTACTTGTATTATTGGTAATGACTGTCTCACTGACCTGGTACTTGTATTATTGGTAATGACTGTCTCACTGACCTGGTACTTGTATTATTAGTAATTATCGTCTCACTGACCTGGTACTTGTATTATTGGTAATGACTGTCTCTCTGGCCTGGTACTTGTACTATTGGTAATTATCGTCTCACTGACCTGGTACTTGTATTATATGTAATGACTGTCTCACTGACCTGGTACTTGTATTATTGGTAATGACAGTCTCACTGCCCTGGTACTTGTATTATTGGTAATGACAGTCTCACTGGCCTGGTACTTGTATTATTGGTAATGACAGTCTCACTGGCCTGGTACTTGTATTATTGGTAATGACTGTCTCACTGGCCTGGTACTTGTACTATTGGTAATTATCGTTTCACTGGCCTGGTACTTGTATTATTGGTAATTATCGTCTCACTGGCCTGATACTTGTATTGATGTTATTATTAGAACCTCATAGCATATGTGTGGAAATCAGAAAGAATAAACAATCGACAAGCCTTGTGGACAAGGACATTTCGAGATAACGATAATTAAAACTACATAACATGTTATTTATTGTTATCTTTCTACTTTTTTAATACAATAAATACGTATTGCAATTAAATTGAACATTGCGCTTGTTTTACTGGTCTATTGGTTATCCTGCTTTATTATCAACCCACGCCCCTGTAAAATGCCAAATCAAATATGTTTTAAGTATTCCATACAGCGTAGCAAAGACTTCTGTCCATGAAAATGTATGCACAACAGAGAAAGCATTGTTTACTATATCGAATATTCAGTCAAAACAAAAGTATTTTTCCTTTTTTAAGCAATGAATAATTTAGCAAATCTTGTTGTGGTCCTATAACACACATTGCAGGGCTTTACGTATGCTTGTCAGCAATAGAAGTGTGTGTTATAGGACTATAACAATATTTGCTAAAGAATATTATTATATTTACATTTTGATAGAGTAGTTACGATTTATTTGATTATTTCGAACTGTTCTTTGAACAAAAAATTTAGTATTGACAACAATGAAGTTGATGACGTCACAATAGCGATGATGACGTTTTAATAGCAAATGTTGTTATAGTCTCATAACAACATTTGCCTTCTCAACGCATTGCAATGGAAGGATGCAGAGCAAATGTTAATATTGAATGTCGAACATTCCATGTATTTTTATATTTCCACTGCTATTACCCATAGAGACACTACCAGGACAACGTTTGTCCATTACTTTTTAAACGCAAGTATGACTACGCATCAGTTAGTTTTCATATAAACTTGAAAAAAGATTACATGATACTTCTTAACTTTGCATTTCTTGTGGTTACTCTTAGGTTTGTTTCAAGCCCTTGTTAATTTTTAACGATACAAATTTATGTAAAACAAACTCCACGTTTTGCTTTTTTTCAGCACACGTTTCAAAACAGTCTCTAGCACAATACATGGAACCTTATTGCACGGAATAGCTTTATTTGGCATAACATATTACATGTATACTGCATTCTGTATCCAATTGTCACTTATTAAAATAGGCGCTTTCTTATTTCGCATGTGCCAAAGGCATTTTAATGTATATCTAAGACTTGTCAAGTGACAGCCCTATTTTCATGCGACATAACCGGAAGGACACGTGTTCAACTTACTACGTCAAGCAATACTCGGATAGGGAGTTACCATCGAAGCCGTTCCGGTAGGGTACATTTGTATTCGACAAAGCGTTTAAGTAAACCGCTTTTGTCATCAGATCTCCATTCGAGCAAATTATGTATTATTTTATTCTTTCTTCATTATTTTATGTTACATGTGCATACTATTTCTTAAAACGTATTCTGTTCCTATCTAATAAACTGTGATACAAACGACTAAAGGTCCCTAACCCTAACAAATTCACTAGCCGCTGGCGTAATAATACCTCCTCCTAGTACAGGTATTCAGAAAGACAAGGTACGAATATTGTTCCGTTTGTACATTTGATGACAAAGTTCATCTAATATTTAAACGAGTTGTGTACCATCACAACGTTCGTTTTTTTCTACGTACGTCAAATTTGCTGTTAGGTTTGTTTCATATGACGTGATTTAATTGTAACGTCATAGTAAAAAGCTTTAGTTATAAAAAAAAACAAAACATTACTACAATATTATCAAGGAAATCAAAAACATGCTGTCAATTTAGCTTAATACATGTACATTGTAACGATATGAAATAAAACTGATTTGAACAGCCAGTGAGTGTCCTATATATGAAATCTCTCCGCGCTCATTATATTATAAAGAGAAAATGAAAAATTATATTCTTATTTCCCCTGTACAGGAATAGTGATTGACACAACGCATGTTATAAACTATAACAAATATGCTCATTAGCATGCATAATAAGCAAAATAAAGACCTAGGGTAGGAATACCCAGATCGTTGGATGTTGGACGACGAGTAGGGCCACACAGCCATTTACAAATGAGGTGAAAGTACCTACCTGAGAGTATGCAGACGAGCGTCGTTAGGTAGATACGGCTGTCGCTGTACATCTGAAACACGAAATAAAGTAAATATTGGACTGTCATATGTAACGATGTACAGGCAACAGGAACGGATATTTGATGGTACACGCACAATACAGCGCCGTAAAAAGGCTTGATATCCCCACTCTACATCAATGTCGTTGATAGACACATTCATATGAAAGTTGATATAACAACAGTGTTTTCATTGAGCCGACAGGTCAGTGACGTCATTACCAACCGTATTGCTCATGTGATGTGCGCCTTCTCTAAAACAGTATTTTCCTGTTGATATATTTATTTTGTTAAAGCATGAAACTTAATAATTCAAATACATTTGATTATGTAACTTACTACATCCTTTCATTGAAAAATTTAAAAGCGTTTAGGAATACACAATTGTGAGTGAAACAGAACAAAAGTCTTACACTCAGAATAGGTTGGCATAATATGTCAGATTTTGCTACGTCAGGTTGGACACACATATGAATTGTAAGAACACATGGGGTCTTTAGGAATATATTGAGAGGAGAGTTACATGGTAGCAGATCATAATATACTACAATACATGACTACATGGTACAAGCTCCCCTGGATCAACCAAAAATTACAAAACGAAATTATTAGGGCGCCGATCTGGTAACTTATAAATTATTTGATTTTCCTTATCGAAAATAAAACTTTAATTGTTTGTAAATTCAAACTTTATATTTATTAGTGTACAAATGTATTACGTTATTACAATAACGAAATCTAAACAAAAGCGGTAGAGATAAACATTAAGAAACATACAAACAAAATTGTTAAAACATTATGTAACGATGCATCATTAGAAACCTGTAGTGATAAAACCTTACCAAGTGATGTAGTTTAGAAAACAGAACTTACTAGTAATTGAAAATCGTAGAAGAAAACACAGTAATATTAAAAGCAAAATTTAAGTGATATATGTTTCAAAACAATGTTAAATAAAAACAAACTGACGCGATAAAACATTGTAAATCATTGTAACATAAAAATCATCTTTGCTAAAGAATATTACAAAACAACGAAACAGAAAAAAAATGGAACTTAATTGAAAAAGATGAGGACGAAATATCCTAAATATACAACTGGTCAGTTTCTCTAAGAGTGATAGTACTTATCTACGAGTTCAAAGTCTAATTTACAGACAACACTATTGTAATTAGTCTTTAATCAGATCAAACATAGATAGCACAGACAAACAATTTTTTACGCGACAATCTGAGTTTGAGCTCAGTTTGTGATAAAGTGACGTAGTGCCACAAACAAAAGCCCGTACTTATCTTCCAGCGGAATCTAATCAAAGCGTCGGGGTTAGTTCATTATCAGATTGATAACGCACGGTGCAATCTTTTCGAAAATTTAGTTTCCGAATTTGTGATTTTGTGAATGTGTTCATATGTGATGATATCTGTAAATGTGTGGTTATTTTAGAACGTGATCAATATTTCACTACTGTAGTTGCAAACATAGCAAACTCATGAAAACTACCCGATACATGGTTTTTCCCCAGAGTAATATAACCTGATGAGTAATAACGACTGTTTGTATCAGTCATTTTGTATTGCCGAGTTGATTATTTATTAATTCAAGCTTTGAGGCTATTATGAATAAATATATTTATGATTTACTGTAATAAATCATATACCGTGTAGCACTATGGACAATTTACTGTATGACTCTCAGCAGTTTATCATGTTACATAGGTTGGGTCACCTTCCCGGCCACGTGGGTTTTCTCCGGGTACTCCGGTTTCCTCCCACACTAAGACCCCCACGCGCAATATCCGGGCCAACAAGAGTGATTAATGTAAGTTAAAAGAACTTGTTTCATACTTGTTGTTAAATGAATAAAGTTGATAGGTTTCAATTTACTGATAATGCAAATACTGTTCCAGTTTCAATAGATATGTATATCTCCTGCTCTCCAGTGTTGCCATGCGATCTAAAACAGATCATGGTAGTTTTGCTAGGACTTAAAGTGGGACATTACAACCTTGTCGTTTTGCGAGAGAGTAATGGTTGAACGCAACGTGAGAAATCTCTCTACACTATTGTTTATCCTGTGGTTGACATGTTTGCATTGTATATAGCATATATGCACAGAAGTCCAAACCGATAGGTTTTAGGTAATAAAAATTCAAAAAACTGAACCGAATCGTCAACAAACATATCCGTCGAGCTGTATCACCTAGACCGGATCGTACCGGATCGTAATCCCTGGCTAGAGAAGATGATGCAGCTTTGAAACAGGGACAACCGTCATACAATATAGATACACAATGCACGCTTTGCCATGTAATACGGACACAAGCTAAGAAATGAATATGGAAGATAATGAGGACTGTTGGAGAGGAGACAGAAGAACGTGACCATATATTAATACCTGCGAGTACTCGATACATACTGTTGGACATATATCAATACATTTTTTATTTTCGTCACTCGAATAATCTTCATGGCCATACAATGATTTCTCGAAGCTTAGAGTTAAGTATTCAAGATGATTTCTAAACATTTGAAATCTTTGATCAGTATATATACTGCATGTAAAAGGAAATGATGAGCATTTTCATTAGGATATCCACATGCACAAATAGGAGAGTTAATTAGGTTAACATTAAAGAGATCATCATTCAAAGGGCTGCATTTATGACGGAGTTTGGTTAGTAAAATAATTAACTTAACGTCACCGGCTGAATAAAAAACAGTAAGCAGTAAGATCCGCTACTCTGTGATATTTCAAGGGGACAAAATAACAAATGCATTACTTAAACAAACTTAATAAAGTTCTGTTGTTACATAATGTAAGATCGGAATCCTAGCTCGGTCTTGGTGACAGGTGCTTTTGGTAGTATTAGTGTTAATGACGTCATCGGTAGTCTTCACAGCAGGCTTTTCATGTGTATAGTAAATGTGTCAGTCCCACTTGGTACAAAGATCCTGACTGTTGTAGCGGAGAACATCTATCTTTTGCATCCTTGAGAAGCAAGTTCCAATATCGCAAAATCCCTTCTATTTCTTGTCTTGTGTATACTAGTATTTATTACGTCGCTCCTCGATAGGACTTCGTACATGGAGCCTCGCTGTTTTAATCTCTAGCGGAGAACATTTAGTGTAGATGCTGTTTTGCTTTAAGACATGTCTTTGGCGTCCTTGAGATGCAAATTTATATTCAATATTCTTGCTTCTTCTAGAGCGCAAAAAAATCTTAATTTCTTATGTACTGACTTTAAATAGCAGATATGATTGAGATACACATCAGCCACCGGATATTTCAAATGGTTTGTTTACTCATAACACTGAGCAACAGCCACCTTCAACTTTAGCCAGTGCGTCTTGTGAAATGTCGTCTGAGACCCATATGAGCTTACCTTAGTTCTTTGTTTATACATTTCCTCCATGTTCTCTTGGATAAATTTAAATCAGTGGAAGGACTGTTAAAAGACATTCTTGTGAGGAAACTTGCTAGGTTAAAAGACATTCTTGTGAGTAAACATGCTAGGTTAAAAGACGGGTCATGCTAGAAAACTTGATAGGTTAAAAGACATTCTTGTGAGGAAACTTGCTATGTTAAAAGACAGGTCATGTTAGAAAACTTGCTATGTTAAAAGACATTCATGTTAGAAAACTTGCTAGGTTAAAAGACATTCATGTTAGAAAACTTGCTAGGTTAAAAGACTTTCATGTTAGAAAACTTGCTATGTTAAAAGACAGGTCATGTTAGAAAACTTGCTAGGTTAAAAGACATTCATGTTAGAAAACTTGCTAGGTTAAAAAACAGGTCATGCTAGAAAACTTGCTAGGTTAAAAGACGGGTCATGCTAGAAAACTTGCTATGTTAAAAGACATTCTTGTGAGGAAACTTGCTAGGTTAAAAGACATTCATGTGAGGAAACTTGCTAGGTTTATAGACATTCTTGTGAGGAAACTTGTAAGGTTAAAAGAGACGGGTCATGCTAGAAAACTTGCTAGGTTAGAAGACGGGTCATGCTAGAAAACTTGCTAGGTTAAAAGACATTCATGTTAGAAAACTTGCTAGGTTAAAAGACAGTCTTGTGAGGAAACTTGCTAGGTTAAAAAACATTCTTGTGAGGAAACTTGCAAGGTTAAAAGAGACGGGTCATGCTAGAAAACTTGCTATGTTAAAAGACATTCTTGTGAGGAAACTTGCTAGGTTAAAAGTCATTCTTGTAAGAAAACTTGCTAGGTTAAAAGACGGGTCATGCTAGAAAACTTGCTAGGTTAAGAGGTAGGGAAATGATAAACATTACAAGAGTATAAGAATAGCTGAGATCAGCTTCTGTTGTTTGTCCTTGTTCATTTATTTTCTTACATTTTCAGACACAAAGAGGTATTAAACATTTAAGTTCTACATCATATGTCTGCTGTGTTTGCCTGCTGGTAGTAGAGAGAAGTAATGTGGAAGGTACAAGTAACTACAGAGATTTGAAAGTCCGATTAAATAATTCCGCTTTCCCTTCCTTCTCTCCTTCCTGTTCCTTCTGTCTTACTTCCTTCTCTCCTTCCTGTTCCTTCTGTCTTACTTCCTTCTCTCCTTCCTGTTCCTTCTGTCTTACTTCCTTCTCTCCTTCCTTTTCCTTGTCTTACTTACTTCCTAATGAGACTTTAATATTTTTTTTATCGCCGATTTACAGACTAAACCTGTAATTACCATACATTCTGATTGTCTTCTTTTGTTTTGGGGATTTCAACATTTCTTATATAAAAGCATCGTATTGACCAAATAAAAAGGTATGTATCATGTGTTTTAACAACGTGTACTTCACGTGGTTGACTTATAATGCCGTACCTTGTTTTCCATAGGTACAAAATGTCAAAAAATTCAAAATCGTCAACGCGACGTCTAACCATTTCGTGTAACAGAATCAATAATCAGTCTGTTAGATTACTTTCTAGGTTTGAATGATATTAGGTACACTCGTTCAAGGATTATGTCTAAGACACGTGACGCGTTGATCAGCACTGTACAATCGAAAATGG